GAACCAGAAGACATCACCAGGATAGATACCGAAGAAGATTTGGCTGTCTGGCTACCTTCAGACATGTCTTTCCCACCGCGCCATGAAAAATCGGCTCAAAAGACATTCATCGTTCTACGCATAAGTCGCCACAATTCCTACAATATCGCTCGTATGAATCGCTCCTTGAATACGCCAGCCAAGTTGTCCACACGGGACGCAGGAAAGACGTAACTCACCGAGAATGTCCAACTACCTGCCACAAAATTGGCTATTGGCATTCAATCTGTGGATTTTGAAACACATCTCATGGTGATTGTCCTCTTTCCTCCGAGGTTTCAATATCTCTGAGGCAACCTAATACTTACTTTACGCCCTGTCTGAAAAAGGTTTGGCTAATAAGTTTTCACCGTTGGCCTAACGAACACACCGTTGGATCATGCTTAGGTTTTCAAGCTCAGAGCGCACACCTTCATTAGGCAACAATATTTCTCATTCTCTGTGTGGAATAACCTGTCTCTGATGCCTGTTAATGCTGCATCTACTACCCAGTCCAAAGCACTATTAGACTCTTTAATGCGAGTCCTGAGTAGGTACGCTTGCTTCTCCACGCTGAGGGTTAAGAGAGAAGTGGTAAACCCTTTTGTCACATGTGCCCCTTGGGTGAATGGATGCCTTTCGACCCGGGAAGCTTGGGCGAAAGCCTAGATCCTGTGGATCAATCTTTGAATCCGTGTGTTAGCCATATCTATCTACCTACCTACCTGCCTACCTACCTACCTATCCATCTATCTGTCTGTCTGTCTGTCTGTCTGTCTGTCTGTCTGTCTGTCTGTCTGTCTGTCTGTCTGTCTGTCTGTCTGTCTGTCTGTCTGTCTGTCTGTCTGTCTGTCTGTCTGTCTGTCTGTCTGTCTGTCTGTCTGTCTGTCTGTCTGTCTGTCTGTCTGTCTGTCTGTCTGTCTGTCTGTCTGTCTGTCTGTCTGTCTGTCTGTCTGTCTGTCTGTCTGTCTGTCTGTCTGTCTATCTGTCTGGCTGTCTCTCTGTCTACCTATCGGTCTAGCCATTCACACATCTATCTATATAGATGTATCTATTTAATGCTCAGGTTAGGCTTTTGCAACGCCAGACTGGAATCATCTTGACGGGGCGAGAAGCGCAAGCGAAAATGTTCGTACCTGATTGGTCCATATTTTGGCCAGTGGGGTCTGCATGGATGTGGTCCTTTGCCGGCTCGCGACGTCCGTCCAATCCACGCGGTTGCCGGTGTATTTTTGCAGTATGCGGCGCCTACCAGTTTGATCCTTCATATGTAAATATGTTGATGTACAATCTTGCTCACTGGACTTCGACTCACGAGCTTCCTCTCCGTTTTCCACCCACAAATCGTCGGGACACTCTGCCTTCGGAGAAAGCATCGTGGGACGGTAATTCTGCAAACACAAGGTTTTTGTGGACGTAAGACAGAAAGACAGCTCACGGACCGAAACCCAGTCAACAAGGTTCAACGCTTACTTGCACATAAATCCACCACTGTATGCCGCACTGACCGTTTTGAAGAATTCTGTCCCCCGTGTGCCACGGCCTACGTGGACCGGTCGGTGCTAGTGGTGTGTTGCGTGAGGTTGCTAAGCATGTACAGGGGTGTCTGTGTTTGCGGATGCGTTGGCCTGTAATTGGGCAACGTTTCAGCTCTATGGCCGATACGATCTTATGCTCCTTTCAAGCTGCACTGCGGCCGTACGCGGGAGAAATAGTCCTGACCCTGACCACGTGCGGTTGAATTGGAGTATTGCAGTATCGGAGCTTAATTGGAATTCATCGGAAGGTTGGCACTACCAGTTGGGCGATTTCCAGTTCAGAACCACTGATCCACTATTCTCCGAGAAGCTGCACTGCGACCCCTAGACAGTGACATCCAAATGTATAGGCTATAACGGGAATAAACGTGTGCTTGAGGAACGGATACACTGTACGCTGTGCAATGGGTAGATTCAGGTTTCTCGCTCCGGCATAGGTGCTGTACATGCTTACAACTATCCGTTCTCAACCCCCACTATGCTACCTGTTTTATGTTACTGAATGACGTCCATCTTCCCTACGTACATCTTCCGTTATCTCTGAGACGATTATCAGATGAATAGAGACTCCTCAGCCAATAGTTCGCTCACACAAAGTCACCGCCTGCTTCTCAGCTGTAAGACCCTTTCGGTGCCTAGTTGCCATGCCTCCTAGATGAAGCTAGAGGGCTGGGATACTGCCAATTCGCTCAAGCCTAGATCGGGTAATTCGGGAGACAGGCATCGGGTTCAAACCACGGACCTTCCGCCGAGTAAATTCGCTGTCGAACAACTGAGCCATTTCGCCCCTCCACACAACTATGCTGTCCGTTTGATACCTTTCAAATCTGAATTACTCGACTCTGGTGATGCACAGGTTTCTCAGCCAGCCTGAACAGATGTGTTTTGGGGGAACATACGCGGCTGTTGTGGGGGGGGGGAGAGAAAGAAAGCGTTCAGCTGTAGCACCCTTCCGGTGCCTAACTGCCATGCCACCCGAAGGTAGCACGAGGGCTAGGATACTGCCAGGTTGTCCAAGCCTAGACTGGGGTGGTGGGGGGGGGGGAGCACAGGGGGCGAAAAGCTCAGTGTTACTCGACGAAGTTCCTTGTTAGAAAAGCTGTTGCCAGATGGACCGCAACGACAGGCTTTGGGCACCTCGAGAACTCCGAGGGCCACTCGGGAGAACTGATTTTCGTGGATGAAGCATAGTTCTTGAGAACATCGTCAGGCGATCGTAAAGGATTGGGCTTCTTTCCGAGCACTGATTTGGCAATGGGGAATCAGGACACTAGATTGAAACACAGCTGCTTCAGTTGTGTGCTGATCACCAGTAAGAACTTCCACCACGAAAGCTCACGTCGAGTTACCTAAAAGCCAGCAACTGCAAGACAGCCATGGACCTTGTGGCCATCAGTTACCGTTTGAGACCCTCAATTAAAGGTTGTCGTTCCTTCCGGGGTGTGGAACTTTACTCTGGTCACGCCATTGTATAACCCTGGTTATCGTTTTGCTTTCCGTCAGCAATACGCGTGCCAAAGCAGGACACATCCGTTCACCAACTCCAAGTTGTCAGGGACATGTACATCATTATCATCATCATCGACAGCATGACATTAGTGTTCAACACCGGTGCTTCGCTGCCGTACAATCATGATTTATTTGGAAGCCTTATTGTGAAGAAAAGAATAAGGGTGGACGGGGAAGGGATTTAGTTCTAGCTTACTACAATCATCCCGAGTTGCTTACACTTTCATGCAATCTGGATAGAAACTGACAAAAAGATCGTCACTGACATCGGTTGGCAGCCACATCTTGCGGCGTTTCCAACCAGGCACAGTGAGGATCACGCGGCCCCCATCCTGGAAGGCGAGTAGCACTGATAGCACCCAAACGTTTCATGATTTCTTCCATACCCCTTTTCCAGGTCAAGGGTTGGCCCCCTCTCTGCTTCCGTCACTCCGAACGATGCATGGAAAACAGCACTCTCTTCGGAAAAAAACGATTAGGCATAAGCAACACATGTCCCAACCAACGCGGCTTTTGGTGCTGAACACATTCTTCGATGGAAGTACTCGTTGCTCAACCGAAAATGCGCTTTCTAACTGCCTCGTTACTTATTCGCCGCACCACGATCACTCACCCACACGAGCTATGGGTCTGTGACAACGATTGTCGAACACCTGAAGACGTCTCAGGTCCGCTGCTCGAATATGCCAAGTCTCACAGCCATACAACAAAACAGCCCGTACTGTAGCTTGATACACACGTCCCTTCAGATTCAGGGATACACCACTTTGACGCCATAGGTGTCTCATTAGCAAACGCGACCCGGGCCTTGCAGATTCGTGCATCGGCCTTATCTATCGCGCTAAAACCAGAACCAACACAACTTCCAAGATACGTAGAATGCTCCACAACTTCCAGTACCTCTAGGTGGATTTTAAGTGGCGTGTTCAGTGACTGCATGTCCAGGAGCATGACCTTATACGTTGTGAGTGCGAATTGCATACCAAAGGGCGGAATGATTTTGGTCAGTTCATTCAAAAACACTTGCGCCGTCTCTTCGAAGATGAGGCGATGTCGTTTGCATATTCCAGATCGACAAGTTTTTCGTCAGAGGCTATTTGAGCGCTGGGGTTTTGGAGACCTTCCAACGTTCGTCTCTGATTTCATCTATCGCGAAGTCAAACAGGAATGGGAAGTGGGCATCCCTGACGGACACCACTTTATGTACGGAAGCTTGTGGAGAACTCTCCGTATACTGTCACACGTCCGGAAGTCTGGGAATACAAAGAGCTTATTATGTTCCCGAACTTCCGGGGCATTCCTTGGTGGGCAATCGTGTCAAGACCGGTCAACCGAGCTGAATACGCCTTTGAAATCCAGGAACACTAGAGTTGTGGGTCGCATATACGTATGGCGTTGTTCTAGCACCTGACGCAGTGTGAAGATTTGGTCAGCACAACCCCATACCAGGCCGGAATCTCGCTTGCTGCTCTCGAGTCAGTGTTTCACGAGTCACCATAAGGCGACGAAGCAGCAGTAACGCCAACAGTCTCGTTACGACCAGGGTCAATCTGATCTTGTGGTTATTACACTCACTGCGAGCCTCCTTTTTTTGAAAATGGGCACTATCACCGAGTCTCCCCAGCTGTCTGGACAGGATCCTTCTCCCAAATGCAAGCAAACAGATCAGGCAAGCTCAGGACCTCACTCGTATCTTCGAACAACGCGGATGGAAGGTCATCCGGTGGCGCTTAAGGGAACATATGCAGTCATAAACCCCCGAGGCCGTAGTCGGTTCAGCGTTCACCGTCCAGGGTTCTACGTCTTCTGTGGGCTCCAGTCGTGTGCCAGCTGGTGGCCATGACAATTGTTGTTCGAAGTATTCGACCCATCGGTCGAGGTGTTCTTTATCCGAGATGTTCACTCCATTGCGATCCTTGATGATTTCACTCACAGATGGTTTCCGGGGATCGGCCACACGGTTCAACTGAAATAATCTTCGGGTATTACTGGCTTTCTTGGCCTCTTCCATTACCCTGGCTTTCTGTGTTCACCAGACTTCACGGTCGGCTTGCACATTCACCTTCACCTCACGTCTGATAATGCGTCGCATCAAGTTACGTTCCGGGTCGGATGGGGTATCTCTCCGAGATCTAAGCAGTGCCACCGTCCGGTGTGATATCCAGTGCTTGAGTTCACCTGGTGGTGCCGTGCCACTGGCAAAATTCCATGCACTATGCAAAGAGGTGGCAATCTCTTCCCAGTATGAGTTCACATCTGATAATGGAGCATTTGGAAAAGACTCTAGAAGGTTCGTCTAACATCCGGATCTGCCAGTCTTTCAGTTGCCAAGAGATTTGTCCGCACCTTACGTGGCCCTGGAAAACGTAGTGAGAAGCGACTCCGGACGAGGCGCAGTCGAAATCCACAAATGTGTTCCAAAACGACCGGCGGTCAGTTATTGATACACACCATCGGTAACTGATGGCAATGTGATCGATTTGAGTTTGTGATCGGCCTGCCGTTGGAGGACACCATGTGGCCATACGACTTCGGCTATTTTGTAAGTTAGTACTGTATAAAAACAGACTGCGATCAGCACACGTGCACATCCACACTACGAGATATATAGAGGCGTCAGCAATGGTATTTTTTCGCTTACCCTCTCCACTGTACGCAGTAAGGCAGTGAAGTATCAATGCTAACATTGATGCTATTGTCTCTGGTGATCAAGTAAGTTTTATGACACCAAACGATGATCGATGTGACATGAAAATGTTTACAGTTATGACGTTCCTGGTTGTACATGGGTTGGGATACTCTCACGCTGCCCAGACTTAGACAAAACAACGATTAGTGTCCTCAACCAGAGGCTTTGGCTCAAAAGCCTGGCCGCTAGCCAGCAGGTGACATACTACAAGTTTTAGAACATAAGTAAGTGTGTTTCTTCCAACCCCTAACCTAAGGGGTCAGGAAAGTGTTTTTGTCAGACTTCTATCCACCGACCAACCCGGTAGGAGAGATTTTGTGTACGCTACATGGGCGTCTTCCAGTACAGCCCAATGAGTTACTGAGGTACGCAGACTGTCGGACCACGATAAGCTCCAGTCTCTTGGCAACAACCAACATATAACCGAGTTACCATAGCTGGGATCTCCCCAGCCATATTCCGATCCGTTTGGCACTTCGATTGCCACTTCAGTGCTCCTAGTCGTGCACCGGTCGTCACGTTGTTCCAGGGGAGATCCTCCATTTTTTGTGGGGTTTCATGAGTGCGGATGATTACTGCTATCTTATGGTTGTTGCCTGGTCGGACCGTACAACGTGTGACCAAGACTTTCGTGCCCACTTTGAAATATTTGGTTGACCACGCGTAACTCGCAGTCATATGATTTGAGTGTTGACGTAGCTCAATTTCCCTCTAAACACGAGTTATTTTGTTTGACATCTCTGAGACCGAATACTCTGCATATTCTTCTTCCTTTTATGCAGTCCCAGCGGCGCTGATTCTCGCCAAAAATGGTACCTGTTTTGTGAATCATATGTTTTAATGGACACCTTCGAACCAGACGACTTCGTTTTCGCTATCGTTCAAATACCACCTGGTCAATCTTCTGAGCGGTTACTAGACTCTTCTGATCCCGCTACAGTGAAATGCTTGAGGAAGTTTTGCAAGCGCATAGCTAAGCGTCCGTTTACTACCATTTCGAGACCACTTCCTTGTGTTGGTGAATCGAACGAACGGTTTATGCTCTCAGTCAAAGATGGACGTACTTCTTTCATACCTTTTGTCGGGAAGGGCTCCGAAGACCGCTGGTACCTTCGCCATCTTCCCACACATCGCCTGGTGATACAGTCATTTGGCTTCGATGCGTGCATGTGAGTAACCGTTTTTTGTGCACCTTTCAAAGCCGGTTTCTTGCATGCTTATTATTTGCTTGATGTTGTGGTTCTATCCAGGACGAAGTTAAGAGAAGTGTACGCACGAGTTCTCGCTGTTTTAAATTCAGGAATTCACTGGTTTGTCTTGCTCGCCATTTCTATTAGGTGCCATTCCTCGTGTTAGCTGTTTCCATCATGTGCGCTGGGGAATATGGATTACAACATGGCCAAGCAACTAAACATCGAATGTCTTAGCTTTGTCTCTGTTTTTTGTCTAATTCATGTCTTTTTACTCGGTCACATGAGGAACTGCGCTTGCTGCTCACACGGTACCGCTGACTGACTGGAATTGCGAGCAGCCAGCAATGTCGTGCATTAAATTTTCGTGGTATTCACTTTACACCTCCCCCAAAGTTTTTGGGTCGATTCTCGACATCAACAAAGCTCCTCCCATTGGATTTCAAGAACTGCACTGTTTTCTGCTACAGATGAATGAAAAGGGTAGTTCGGCAGTCTAATAAACCTGGAAATTTGTCTATTCTGGCCGTGTAGATTTCCCTCAGATTATCACAGACCGGTAAGCTAGCCTGCTTACTAGGACCTCAGACTGGGTTTCAAGCTTACTTCATCCGTTTTGAACTAGAACACTTTTGCTTATGTGTTTTTGGTGGTGAAGAACATGAAAACCAGCGGAGTTGCCGTTAGCTTAGCTGACCAAGTCGAGTGATACCAGAGTATCAACAGTGGATCTTGAGGTTGCTCGAACACCTTAGGCCCAAATCTCTTACAGATGCCCGAAATGCACGCTAGCTGAGTTTTGAAAACATAAAATAAGGAGGCGGCCTGAAAGACGGATTGTCAGTTCCAAACCCTCTCATTTGAACCAATTTCCATATGTAATCCAGTTATATGGGCGCCCCCATATCATGCACGTCTTTCGTCCTGCCGTTCAGTAGAACAGTCTTCCCAATATGGTGGCATTCGCTCACCCAAAGTGATCGCTCAGGGCAATATGAGTAAAAGCCTTTTAGTGTCTGTTTTCGTTACAGCCGTCTGGAATTCTGGTGGTAGCGGCACTTGGCCAGGAGACGTTCCGACCATCTTAAGTTCCTCTGCCAAGTAAATATAGTTTAAGGATTCTTAGGACATTGCTCGTTATTGATACGTGAAAGTCCTAACCAGACTTAGAAACTGCCGCCTCCTCAGATAAGGGCCAGGGCACTGGACACACCAGTGCAATCCACCACATAACTACAGTTTCACTTCCAGGTGTAGTGTCCTTCCAGTTATTAGATCTCACGCAACTCAAACAAACCACGACCCCTGAGGTACTGCTAGGTTGTCCATGCTTAGACGGAAGTAAGCTCAAACTCAAGAGTGAATGCAAGACACAGTAACCTGCGTTCTAACCCATGAGTTCTCTCCTACTCAATGTCTTCGCTCCCCTCCCCACTTTGCATTGAATGTTCATTCTGTTCGCTCAGTTCCGAAGTACCATAGCTTGCGAATCAGGTCACAAATATCGACGAAAATTGAGACACTCCCATGTATTAATAAAATAGTTTGACCACAGTAACTTTGGCGCATAGTCGTCACGCCACTCGAAGGAAGCACGTGGTCGAGGTACTACCAGATTGCCTAAGCCTAGACAGCAGGAGTCGTAGAACTGGAAGTGTGGAATGTTCAGCATTTGGCATCTTGTTTTCCACAGCCGGAGTGCTCTAGTGAACGTACTCTTTGTAATCCAGTGGGGAAATCCTCGTACGACTAGCAATGTTTTCGATAGCAACGTGCACCGAACTGTGATCGAAAGCCTTCCCTTGACCGAGTTCGATCGCCATGACTGAAATATGGATCATTGAGTTTTAGAAAATTTCAGCCGACTGGTGAGCATCCCTTGCTGTTTCGGCAGCACTTGATCTATATCCACCCGAATGCTGACTTAGAAGTACTGATCCTGAGGTCAGGAGTGTGCCCTCTTTGAAAAGCTTCCAAGTTCTGGTGGCTTTATAGTGGTCTATAAAGTTATGCCTGTTCGACAAGACGGGGACAGAGGAGCCTACGGGGGAGTCCGAGCTAGGTCGTCCAAACTACAGTACACCTTCCTGCCCACTTGGTTACCAGTTCAGATAGTCGTTAATATTCTTATGGGTCGTTCTCTGCATTTTTTGATGTGATCTTCATCCGTTGCATATTGCTACACTCTCATGCCTTCCTCACAGAGCCTCAAACGAACAAGCTGAGTCTCCCGAGACCACAGAGCATCCGAGAAAATCTCCAAGAAAGAGGAAGCGCAGTTCTTTGCCTCCCAGTCCCCAGCTGATTACTTCAAGTGATGAAGAACAAACTGAATTGGAAAAACCACTGCAGTAAACCTCCTGATATCTGTTGCGCTGTCCTATTTTTTGTATATGATATTTTCTGAAGCATCTTGATTCAACAGTTGCTTTCTTGGCACTTTTCGGGTTCATAACTTTCACCTGGATTTCTAATGTAAACAAAGGTAACTCATGCGGACGCCCTGGGTGATGAAACCCAAATGTCAACACCGGTGAGGACTTTGATGTTAACCTCAATAAGCGTTAGTCCTTACAGGTGAGGAAGAGTCTACAGGAGCCTTTCTCATAAGCGAGTATTCAGTGTACGCCACTTGACCTGATTGTTGCCCATAGACAAGGTGTACACCAGCTCCATTCTTCGAAAAATCCAGCTTAGTGATTTTCAGATACCGGCTCATTAGCCTGCCTCTAGATGTGGTTGGTGATGCGATTTTGCGAATTGTTAAATTCCGGATTTATCTGTCAAGACAATGTATGGATAGTCTGTCAAGCTCATCACCGTGTATGTTGAATCAGACAAGACGAACAAGATTGAAGAAACGACGGGGATACCTTAAAACGACATAACAACGAATTGACCGAGTAATAACAAATGAAACCTAGTGAACTGGTGCTCGTCCGTTCCGTGACGTGTTATCGAGTCCGTGGCATCTAGATACAGGACTTATATTTCAATGGTGAGGAACCTGGTCCGACATGTCGAATGTTAATTGGAGGGTTACCCACTTTGCAGTGTAATCTTATTGCAGGGCGCGAGATCGTTCGAATGGTTAGAGCGCGAATTTACTTACCGGAAGGTCCGTGATTCGAACCCGACCTCTGCCTCTCGACTTCCCCTGTATAGGCCTGGGCAACCTGGCAGTATCCCAGCCTTCGTGTTTCCTCCGGGTAGCATGGCAGCTAGCTGAACAGCTGAACGATTATTTACCATTTATTTATTGCAGGTAAATATAAACTCGACGCGAAATTTGCACAGTTCCGGTTGACATCTTCACTCAGCAAACTGCAGTGCTACAATTCTTTGTCTCGAATACAATGTGGAAAGTAGCTGCCGGATCGCCACAATGCCCATTTTCAAATAAATGGCGGGATATCGGTCAGGCTGGGTATCGGTCGTGTACTTGCCTCTGGATTTGAGCCTGGGCTTGGTGTGGCAGACCGCTTCGTGCGCTTTATTCATCTGAGATTATACGGTATTGAAGCGTCAGCACTGATGTTGCTGTCTCTGATGATGACTGAGTTATCTCGGGCTCACACAATGACTTGTTCGGGAGAAGAACCCTTCACGGAACTGACAGGTAGCTTCCCTGCAGACCGCCAAATGTCACTGGGAGAACATCCTGGTTGTCAGAAAAACACTGCAGGAACAGGCTGCTCATCTGGTTGAGGAACTAGTTTCCCCGGATGACCGAGCAGTCTGTGTAAAAATTTGACTGGGAAAGTTGAAATGGCACAGCACGTTTATTCATATTTTATATCGGCCAGAAGATGCTTGCGTCTTTAATGCATCGGTGCTGATGTTTCGCTTTTTTACCTGCGCCGTTACACTGAAATTTTGAGGAGATTTTTAGCTTCAGTACCTTGATGTAGGCCTATTCGTGGGTGGTACCAACCAACATCATTCGAAGCCCCCTGTTTCAGGTCGAGCTCCTAATTAAGCCATAATTCAGAACGGGAAACGATCTGAGGGCTTCCGAATGACGTCTTTATAGATTAGATCATTTTGAGTTTGCAATAACATCATGATCGCCTAAAGGCTGGCAACAAATAGCATTAGTAACGATGACAATAGGAGTGTGATCTCTTTCGGGAAAATATCTGAGAGATAACGCGCTGCACGGGGAGGAAATGTCTCCGGAGAGCAGGCGGTTTTAGACGTAAATCACTACTGAAAACTCATCGACAGCCCACGATCGGTTTCGCCCTTCTCGAGGCTTATCAAGTAGGCACACTTCCCGAGTCTTCGTCAACCTTATGATCTACTTGAACCCAAACTGCACGAAGGCGAGATGGCTTAGGTGGTTAGACTGCAAATTCACTGACCGGAAGGTTCGTGGTTCGAATCCGACCTCTGCCTCTCGACTTCCCCTATCTAGGCTTGGGCAATCTGGTAGTATCCTAGCCCTCGTGCTTCGTTCTGGTGGCATGGCAGTTAGGCACCGGAATGGTGCCACAGCTGAATGACTTTTCAAACTGCACGAAATTCGACTGATATACTTGTTTGCATACCAATTTGGTTTTGACGGGAGACCCTCCTGGAATCCTTATGATCGTGATTAAACCAAACGGGCATGTAGATGAGTGCCTTTCGCTAACTTTACAATTTGGGCTCAAGTAGACCATAAAGGTGTCGACAACTGGGGGACTGCACCTACATGATGAGCAAGCCTCAAGAAGAGCGAAACCGGAAGTGTTTTCAGCAACCCCAAGAGTAGTGTATTACATCTACACAATGTGTATCGCGGTATCTCAAATGTCACACATGAGGCGGCATGATGCAGCACATTCAGATGCTTGACAGCATCATAGACTAGAGACTCAACTGTGTTCCAGGTGGGTATCTCGTCAAGACGAGATGATTGTGTGAGTCGAACAAGTGACTTCATTCGACCCAAAGACGAGTCACCATTGGCCGGAACCCGTTGTATGCTTACTTAGTGGCGGCATGAGCAACGCACTAAACCAATATTTGTAACTGAAGGTAATTCGTATATAGTGTCTTTTGGGAGCGCTTGTTTCCCTGCACGTTTTCACTTATGGCATGTTCTGACTGACACGTCTTGAGGAGTTCTCACTTGGGTTGCCCTATTGGAATGATTTTCCAACAGTCAGGCAAGCATTCAAGTGCTTTGTGATGTTCAGCGACTCGCCAAAGAAAATGTCCCAGCGAGTTCGTTCCGGGCAGTGGAGGTCCGCGTTTTATTTATAATCTCAATTGGCCCCGGTAAAGCAGAAATACTTTGGAGTCCGACGCGGCCTTCGCGCCCGAGCTCTCGATCGGAGGATATAACAAGCGAGAAATTCATTCAAATGTCGATGGACTCTATCACAAACGGACGATTTACTGGACGTCAGCAACTTAATATTGCACGAGGGTTGAGCGGTGAACGCAATTCTCACCGGATGTTGTCAAGTTGCAAAGCCTCACTTGTGGGTGGAGCCGTTGCTTGAGGGTTGAACGCCGCTTCCGAATACACGAACTACAGAGAGTCGGACATGAACGTACACTTTGTCGGCTAGAAGAGTATCAAAAGACTGAGCTTAGCCATTACATGTGGTCTTGCGGTCTCACGCGAGCTAAACACTTTCACTATAGACGTCCGGGTGTAAGCCTACCTGTGGGATAGCGCTCAGCTCACACATTCAGCAAACCGGTATTGCGAGATGTGAACACCCTCGATCCTTTGAACGAAACCACGTGACACGGGCACCTACCGGGTGGCATACTCAGTCAAGCAATCTCTCGCTGACTAAACAAGTCCGCAAAGATCCACGATACAGGAGCCAAATGATAGAATCACTTTTCATCTTGAATAAAAGGACTATATCATGCTCAAACCGCTGATTCGGTGAACCGGCATACTGAAAGCGAAACAGCCCATGAATTTTCTTCTTGTCCAACTGAACAGGTCACTACTGTAATACACACTCACTTGCAAACTAATTTGGTTTTTCGAGAGACTCACCTGGAACCCAGCTGAATCTCTCGGTTTTGATGTTCCCAGGCAACTGAATGTGCTGCACCAGGCCGCCTTATGTTTCAGTCGCTACGATATTCGAGATATCGCGATACATGTATATCTTTGTAATGTACTACTCATAAGGTTGCTGAAAATCCATTGACAGCCCACGACCGGTTTCGCCCTTCTTGGGGCTCATCAGGTAGGCGCAGTCCCCGAGTTTCCGTCAACCTTATGTTCTACTTGAAACCAAGTTGCACGAAATTAGCGAATATACATGCAAACTAATTTGGTTTTTCGAGAGACTCACCTGGAACCCAGCTGAATCTCTCGGTTTTGATGTTCCCAGGCAACTGAATGTGCTGCACCAGGCCGCCTTATGTTTCAGTCGCTACGATATTCGAGATATCGCGATACATACATATTTAGTAATGCACTACTCATAAGGTTGCTGAAAACTCCCTGACAGCCCACGACCGCTTTCACCATTCTTGCAGCTCATCAGGTAGGCGCAGTCCATTCAGGTACAGCACATTCAGTTGCCTGAGGACATCACAGACGAGAGATTCAGCTGGGTTCCAAGTGAGTCTCTCGAAAAACCAAATTAGTTTGCATGTATATTCGCTAATTTCGTGCAACTTGGTTTCAAGTAGAACATAAGGTTGACGGAAACTCGGGGACTGCGCCTACCTGATGAGTCCCAAGAAGAGCGAAACCGGTCGTGGGCTGTCGAGGGGCTTTCAGCAACCTAATGAGTAGTGCATTACAAAAATTTATGGGTCTTTATTGTCCTTTTGAAAACGACTAGCTAAGCCGCTGCGATTGGATTGTCCAATTGATTCCGTTCCTCAAGTCAAAATGCATGGAGCAGTTTACTGTTACCATCAAATTGCTCGTCCCCACTTCATTCTGCTAGTTTTCAGCAGTTTTGTCTTGAAAGCCGCGGCAATTTCTCATCTATTTTCTTTCAAAGCATCTTAGGTACTTCGGGATAACACCCAACGTTTGGATGTGATTGCCCCTTTTATGACAATTCTTTATGCGAACATTCGTCTATTGTGGGTATCCTGGTGTGAATTTCTCAGCTCGAGAGTCATTCCCTTCAAGGGAAGGAAGGAGCTGTTGCATTCAATCGTAAAGTTTTGTGCATTCTCACTGGTTAAAAACCTGGGCGTCATCCTGGGGGATGGCTTCTATGGCCGACGGAGACTGTCATTCCACGCGTAAATATGATGAATTTTCCACTAGGGGCACAACTCGACCCATGAATACTCCGTTCACTCGTCGAAATGTGTGGAGCCACCGCTGAGGCCCGAAAGCGGGTCAGTCCAACACATTGATTTGCCTTCCAGCAAGGCACACTCCATCTTCCGGTTAGTCATACTCATGACCCTGTGACCACCATCATCATCATCGACAGCATGACATCATGCTGAAGCGACTGGCAAAATGTGACGATCATGTGTGAACACGCACCTAGTGGTTATTCATGTTTTTCCTGTTGACACGGAGTTGGCATTCAGTCACGATAGTGTTTCTGATACTTCCTATGAGAGTTTATGATTAAATCGCTCATACGAGTGGAATTTAACCTGGTCTTTGTGGGCTCAAGCCTACCACAGACAAGCTCAGCAACTTTTGCTGACTCATCTAACGGATACGAGACAAGGGACCTTCAGATGAAGTGAATGCCAGTGTGCAAATGGCTTTCACTCGTCCAGAGACAGCATATATTAGGACGAGGCGACGCCCAGGACCAACAGCTGTGACTCGTAGCAACGCGAGGAGTAACGCACGGGCGGCCGACGGACCTCGAATGGGCGAGGAACCGCTGTCACAGTCAACGATATACGAATTTGCCCCAAGACAGGCCAACCGATCCATCCTATCCGGCTACTCCATTCCCAAGCGAAGATTCGAAATCGAAATTAATCAACTTGATTTTATGATTCAGCAATGGAAAAAATGAGGATTCGCCTGGTTGTGACGGAAAATACGAAGCCTCCCCACTGCATGCCAAACAGTCCGCCTGTCTAACCTAGCAAAAATAGTTTGATGGATGATAGAATGACCGAGTCCCAGTGTCTCCCCAGCAGTAGTAGACTCCAGAAAGCAATTTACTGTTTGTCTGTTCCCCATTTGTTCGACACCATCGCGCGTTTTACAAAAAAATCTCTACTGGCCACCGTAACCAGTGGACTAGTAAGCGCACTTGGAAAAAACATTGGCAAAAAATAACAACAGAGAAAAAAGGAAAGAATTTAACTGAACAGAGCAAATGAAAACCAAGCGTCCAAGTTAAGGAATACATGGTTCGATGAGTATATTGCTTGATCGTATTAGTCGGACGAACAAAAATGAAGGTCACAAAAAGTGAACAATATCGTGGGACAAGTCGTGTTAAGTACTGGATGAATACCGCCCTGGCCAGATTAGAACTGTTTGCATGCCAAAACGAGGAAAAAGGCATTGGAAGGCATCCTAAACTCAGTCACAGTCCACACCTCTGTAGGCAACCAAGTTGTCACTCTCAACAGTGCTTAAAGAGGATATCGGAGACTGTGGTCTCAGTACGATGGTCGATCGCTATACAATAGGGTGCGGCTAATGCTGGAGTTGTATGACAAAACACCGGAGAAAAGAAGTGGCAAACCCGCACGCAAGTTACCGTGCCGTTTGCGCACATGCAGAGATTCAGGTGAGGTTTTGTCGGGAACGAAAAAAAAAACAGAATCAAAGCATCACGAGTGTGTGTGTGTGTGTGTTGTACAGTAACAAATCAAACGCCAAGGGTACGATAATAAACTCTGGTCTAATCAAGGTACACAAGATGAGAACAGAAACTTCGAGAAAAAGGAACAAATAACACACGACATGCTGACGAAGGGAAGATGACACGTCGGCATTGCGAAAGCAAAGAATAACGAAGAGAGCAGGGCAAACTAATCAGCTGCTAGGTTTTTACATTAGCGCACACGGAAAGCCGAGGAGAGTGGGCCGTGTGTGAGATTGATAGGTGTGATTGCCAGAAGGGACGCACATTGGCGGATGGTTGAACGTGATGTTCCGGCAGACTGCGTTTCCTTTGCACGCTCACAGGGCAAGGACGCGGAGAACAAACATCAATCTCAATTGGTTTGGTGACGAAGTATAATGGCTCACGTCCGTTGTGGTTACTGGGGTTCTGGCAACTTGGAAAGCTAAAAAGGACACAAACAAAATGCGAACAGCACATGAGCAGGAATACTCATAGATTCCCATCGCGCAGAGTGAACTACAGCTGAGCTCGAGAAGGGAGGTGGATAGCGCACAATATGTGAATCTATCGAATCAGTAACATTCAAAGTAAACGGCGCTGCATTTTGTCACACAGACGCGTCAGTTTGGAGCTTTGGCAGACTGTGGTCAGATGACCAAGCCAACCTAGAGACGGACAAAAAGGGCGCTCAAATCCACCTCGATACCCAAATACGACGGTCAGACATTTCGCAAAGATACACTTGCAGAGGAGGTTAAACGACGAACCAGAGTCACGTCGCGATAGATCAAGTGCAGTCAATGACAAGTTATCAATTACAAAACCCCAGGGACAGTCTTTCCTTCTGGAAAACACTAACCAGGCAGTCATGCCTTTTTACTGTACTTTCTGAAATGTTCATCATGATAAATGCTTCAGATCGAAATATATCAGTCGGTCGAACAGTTGTCCCTAGCTTTAAGGTGAAAACCAGCTGAATGTTCGGACAGGCTGGCACCCGCGGAACGTAGTCCATAATACACGGTGTGCCATTTAGCAGCCATTTCCAGAATGTTCCAAATAGCGGTGGCAGCTGAACCCTACGGATCTTCCGGCCACACGCGTTATCAACAGTGATAAGCCTCACTTGACTAGACTGCTTCAGCTAGGAGGTGATCTGTTAAGTCTATTCAAGCCTTTTAGTTGCGCCGTGATGGTGCGGTTTGAGGACGAAGAGGCATTTCACGTCTTAAAGCACCAATAGGATCGGTTTTCCGTACATCAGAACTGACAACTGATGCCGTTGGCAATTCGTTCCTCTATTTTCACCGGCAGTGAAGTAAATTCCCCCGTCCGTTCTCGATGCTGCCAAGATGTTGGACCGACATAGTCCGGCAGGCTAGTACTAGTAAGCTCTTCAACAGTACATGAGGGGATAGCAAGTCAAAGTTCAGGCTACTAAGCTGTCGATTTCAAGTCCATCGTGATGATCAACACAACATCTGGGACCAAGTGACTTCTTCAGTAAAAAAAGGCTACGGTGAAACTGAGAAGATTCATGTTGATAGCTTTTCGGGTTTCCTTTGGGTCACTCGCGAATAAGGTGTCTGTCAGACGTGCCCCCAACGACGCGTGAATGAACAGTGAAGCGAACATAATCTGGAAAAACTCGAGTTACATTTGATTTTTTCACAGGATGAGGACAAGCTTACGCTGATTCACAACATATCGCCGGTATTTTTAGGAATATACGCGTAATTACGACATAAAATTGTTTGTAAGAACCGACGATTTGGTGACCTCAGTCCACTTGTTACCACCTCGGTAACCACATCAACATCGGGCAATGTCCGCTGAGAACTGAACGAACTTCAGTGATCGTTAAACCGGGATCCCCAATTGGAGAAATGTGCCGGTAAGCTCATGCTTCTGTAATTTCAGTAGAATCCGTCTGCACCTGAAACATGTGGGGTTCCTTTCACCTTTATGGAAGTCCTTTCTATCTGTTTGCGTACTACACCCATACCTCAGTATTGCGCATTCATAGTCCAAACTACAAACACCTGAGCTCCCGCGTCCTGGTGTTGTTGTACACGCGTACACCTGTGTGTGTACTCACAATGAAAAGGCAAGCTTTATTTTTCTATCGAAATGGACCTATCGAGTCACAGAATGCTGTAACAGAGATTGTCTCGAGTCGTTGGCAGAAAGAGATTACGGGATCCACTGGGATTACATCAACTCACCGATCTAAGTGAATCACTGGGACATTAGACCAGATTGTACTCTTTGAGGTTCAGCTGTAAGATAGTGTCCTTTACCGCGGCGAAAACAAAGCGGATATTCTCTGTGTCCGTGGCACAGGTGAAATGAGAATAGATAATCTTGTCCGGATCAGGGTTGAGCTCGACGAACAACTTCAAGATGAAGTCGCGAGCTGCTTCTGCGTTGCGTTGTGGGCCTAGAACGGATGGATAAACGGGCGGTCAACAACCAAAAGTCTTGCATTGTCGACATATAGATGGGGTATGAGACAATATATTGACATGCGCAGGCAAGTTTCGAATAATCAATGTTTTTAGGCGTATATGCAACATTTGAGGCCGGGTTGATAAACAAAAGATTACATGAGGCCACATACCACGTTCCATGAGCGTAGGAGAGATACAGTAGGGTAGTAAAGTTAGGGTAAGGGGAAAACCGTCCGGGTTCTACTTGGCAGACTTACCAGCGTATGACTGAAGTCAAAAGTGGCTTCTTTTGGACAGATAGATTCAATTTGAGTTACTTATTGGTTCCAGTCTCTGCTCAGCGAAGGAAAGGATGCCTGACGATTCAAAAGGTGTCTAGCATCCCACCACAATTCGAATCCACGAGATACTTCGCCGTAGCTGTCGTGGGCAGTTTGTCAGCAGCCATTTTGGTAAACGTTCCGATTCACATGTAGACATCTGCTTTCTTATTCTGTACACGTGTATGCTTCCACCCATCATCATCATCATCAGTGGTGACAATGATGCCTTACTACCGCACAACCATAAAGTTATTTAAAGCCCTAGAGTGAAAAGAGGAGAAAGAGTCGGCGAGGGAGGGGACCTGGTGTTGGTCTATGTCAAACCATTTTGAGTTGTGACACCTCCAAGCGCTCTATCAGACAATCTGGACACTGAGAGCACGAGCACCACTGACATCGATCATCCATTTCTTGCAATGTCTCCAGCCAAGTACAGGCGTGATCACGGGGACACCATCCTGGAAAGCACACAACACCAAACTCTTCGTAGCCTCTATCACATTCCTCTATCAATAACACGCTGTCCATCTCAATGTTTGCGCCATTCCGAAGGAAGCACAGGGAACAACACCCGTTTCGGTAGACAGTTTTCCGGCATGTGTATTACAAAGCCGAGCCATCGTAGTCGATGTTAGATATTTTTCGCACCCTTGAAGTCAAGGAACACAAAGATTGTCGGTCGTCTGTACATGTGGCGTTGCTCTAACACCTGACGGAGTGTGAAGTTATGGTCAACGCAGCCTCTACCCGGTCAAAATCCTGCTTCATTCCCGCGAGTCAAGGCATCGCGTGTCATCGTAAGACGACGAAGAATCAGTAACGTCAGAAGCCTTGTCACAACTAACACCTCTGTGGTTACTACGTTCACTGTGAGTGCCCTTTTCGAAATGGACAACATTATTGATTCACCTCAGCTGTCTGGGACGGTCTCCTTCTCCCAAATAGGCCCAAGTAGACTAGACAGGCGCTGACTGAGAAACTCACCACTATCCTTGGACAGAACGGGTGGAAGTTCGTTAGGATAAGCAGCACGATGACGCTTGAGTAGAGATCTACACTCGGACATTTCGGAGGTTGAAGGCGATTCCGTATTCACAGTCCACCGCAGTCAAACAGCCTGCGGACGTCTCCTGCATCTTTTGTTTCTTTAGCCTTACGGATTCATCAAGCTTCTCGGTCTGCACTCAGTTTCACCTGGCGTCGGATGGAGTTGTGGCGGCGGCAGACGGGGGATTCTATCGCCGGGCCTTCTGCAAGAACATGGTCCTATCAGGGATTCAATGAGGTTGGCTGGTTTGTACCACAAATAAATCCCGCCTCTGAGTATCGCTTGGGAGCGAGATGGACCAAGTGGTTAGAGCGCCAATTTACTGTCCGGAAGATTTGTGGTTCGAACGCGACCTCAGCCACTCGACTTCCCCTGTCTAGGCTTGGGCGACCTGGCAGTATCCAAGCCCTCGTGCTTTCTTCGTGTGGCATGGCAGCTAGGCACCGGAAAGGTGCTACAGCTGGGCGATTTTTTTAGTATCGCTTTGGATAGATGTTCGCAGTAGTCGTTTATATCCGACATCGTACCGTCCGACAGGCTCTCGAGGAGCTGGCTCTGATAACTTTATTTTACTTCTGGATCCACTAGCTTCTCAATGGCTAAGCGAGGTGTGCGCGTATTGCGTACACCTAAAAAGCACAATGAAAAGCAGCAGCGTACAAGTGCATGGTCGGTGTCCACGCTGGTGTTCCAGAAGAAGCGGCAGGCGGTGATCGACCCTCGCCGCCGATAACTGACGGCGATGCGGTCAATTCGACACACATCTGAAGCAAGCACTCTCCGTCGTCCATGCGTCTCGCATCCAACCCAACACGATCGCCCAAATGGAACTCAGCATCCTTCGCGTCACACAAGCACAAGGATGTCTGAGCTTTTAGTCCGTTGCAAAACAGCACCTAAAGCATCATGGAAACTGTCTTCTACAGATTCAGAGCTACAGTTCGTTGCGGCGAAATCATACGCGACAAACAAATTGCGATGGACCTCAATTTATCGAGATTCTCTCGTAGACGCTGCCAAATAAACCATGCAGAGGCGACTACCAACGGGTATCCAATCAAGTGGAGAATCAATACAATACCCATCTAAGCATATCCAGCTGCAATCATCCCTGCATCACCTGGAAGCTAGCGATAGTTCAATGGCCTCTTATCCTTGTTTCTGACAGACAGTATGCGTCAATGCACACAATGCAGCGTGTGAACAAGAGCTTTAGTGTATCAATATTAAGTGCCGCTAAGTAGACCGGATTTCTGTGCTTGAAAACAGACTCTATGTTGAAGGCTGTTGGTGAACATGGATCGTCGGGAGCTTCAGCCGAGTGTGATTCTCGGCGAACAAAGCATCAAGTCCTGGTGCTGACACGTGAAAGTGTAAGAAAAGAGGCGACAGAAGTAGCGTGTTTTCGCTTATCCACTCTACTGTATGCAGAAAGCAAGTATGTATCCGGCTGCTGATATCACGCGACGGCCGACGTGCATGGCCTACGTGGGCGTGCAGACCTAGATAGGAGAACGATTAGGATCCCCGACCAAAGCATTTGGCTCAAAATCCTAAACGCAAGACAGCGGTATTTCGCGAGAGACGAAAGTGCATTACCATTATTATAGAACTAGTCGCCACACATGTTCTAACCACAACACTGAGGGCCAGGAGAGTATTGGTCAGACCTCTAACCATTGACCAACCTGGAATGAGAGACTGAGTGCCGCACGGACACCACCGCTCAATGGGTTTGAGACACGCCAGAGGCCTCACCACTGTAAGGCCCAGTTCCTCAGTGACGGGCTCCCACATCTAACTCCAGATTTGAAGATGGACAAAACAAGCGGAACGGCTTTTTTTGTTGCGCAACTGCTTGAAGTGTGCAGTGCACTTAAAATAGCGGCTGATTCGTAGGGTGACTTGGTGTATCAGCTGGTCGCGGTGGAACTGTTGAATGGCTTATCACAAAAAGAATGGGATGGGGTATTTGATAGCGGTCAGACGACTGGAAATGCATCAGTTGTATTTATCTGATTGTATCCGCCACATGTTGTGTGCGAGTCATTCAGTCCGACCGGCTGCACAGCAGCAGAAAAGTGAATAAACTAGCGTGTCCTGAGCAGGGACCGGCGCACTACTGCGGCAGTCTGCGAACAGAGAGGGGAATGCAAAAGCGGGTTTTGTACATCTAGCGGTTTGATAAGTACATTCCTTTAAAAGCGCTCTCTCTCTCTCTCTGCTGTGTAGGCCTGCGGCCGTACACGATGTGGCAGCACGGCTTTCGTAACAGACCTTCCTGGAAACCCGTTTTGACAGGATCTTGTTCTGTTTGCCAGTGATTAGCCCGATCGAGAGACGGTCTGAGATGGCTAGCAGATTACGATGGGAGCCGCTGACCATAAGGCACGTAGTTTCAACCCATCCATGTTTTTTCTTAACAGACAGGTGCTTCGTTTAACGACAACAGCATCGACAGAGACACCCAAAGGAGGATTATGTTTTATTCAGCATTCAAAGTTAAACGGCTAAAGCATGCACTTACCATCGAATTCGGGGAAGTAATCAACCAGATGGGAGTATTGTATTTTCTCTTCCAACAAATCTTTTTTATTCAAAAACAGGATGACTGACGAGTCCTGAAACCACGGATAGTTGATGATCGTGCAGAACAGTGCCTTGCTCTCCTCCATCCGATTCTAAAGAGCGAGAATAAGGAAACCAAGAAAATAACTGCTCTATAGAAATTCTGTCACCGTTGCATTTATTGAGCAGGTGCTACCCAGCCTCGCGTGAGTGACAATTCGATGATCGTATATAAGAACATTTGTGGATTCCGTCCTGAAAGTGATATAAAGCTATGCCGAAAAGCTGAGAAGTACTGTATAGCTGTTTCATCCTTATCTGGATTCACCAACACTGCACATTCCGCGCAAATCTGGGAATTTTGGAAACTGCGACCTCTTGGACAGTAGCTAAACACTTGACCGTTAGGGGCGAGAGGCCCCAGTTGGTAGAGCGCGAAATTTACTGACCAGAAGGTCCATGGTTCGAATCCGACCGCCGCCTCTCGATTTTTCCTGTCTAGGCTTGGGCACCCTGGCAGTATCCTCAGCCCTCCTTCTTCCTTCGGGTGGCATGGCAGCTCGGCACTGGAAGGGTGCTACAGCTGAACGCTTTCTTTCTTCTTCCGTTAGGCCACAAGCAGCTGATCAGCAATGCGATCAACTCGAAATTCAATCACGCAATCCACATCACGTGGTCAAGTGTTGACCGGATCGTCGAGTGGCAACTTCTTCTCCCCCCTCCCCAGAAAAAGAACAATCAAGAGGGGTAATGCGATAGGGCTGTTTGAAATGTGGTTTGCTGATGCGCAAACATCACCGTCGATATCAGTGAGGGTTCCACAACCACACGATCGTGCTAACTGACCTGAGGAAAAGCCTAACACTGTTAACAAGTCCCGGAGCCTTTTAGCGAGGACAAACGCAAATGATATCAGCTGCCCTGGCAGATATTGTGAGAGCACAAAATACGACGGATAGTCTCAAAGCGTTCATGGAAAAGCAGCGCGAAACGAACTCAAAGACCTGATTTCTTACGCCGGGGGTTTTATACAGGTGTTGTTTGTGTTGAACCTTATTCAGTTTGGTCCAGAAGGCATCTCTTGCCCTGACCTGCAAGCAAGTCCTAAAACTTATCAACAGTATTTCCGATAAACCACCAAGTCCACACATCCTACACATACCTATGGCGTACAGGGGTCGGTGCTCCATTTAAAACACAAAATATAGCGAAATGCCCAAGATTTAGTACCAAAAAGTGGCCCACCCATCTTTACGGATCGTTAGAAAAAGCCGGGCAATCAATCTCTAACCGAGAATCTACTAATCAAAATTACAATGTCTTTCTTTCCCACACCGATCGCTTCGCTCGACAGTGCAGCCTGTCAGACAGGCGCACGCGAAAGGCTTAACGGTCAGACAGACATACAGACAGATAGGAATTCCTGTTCAACACGCGGACAATCCTCTCCACCGGTGACCACAAACCCAAGTGCGGATGAGCGTGCAAGCAAGGTTCGGAAGCGTGCAAAATCTTAACGTCCGCGTAACCGTTCCTGTGTACACGTGACACCAGAATTCAACGATTCACCAATCCCACCGAACAGTTCAGACCTACTGAAGGAAGAGCATGCTATCAGTTGGTGGAATAATCCATATTTGTCGAGGGTAACCTAAAATAATCGGCGGAGGTCTTGGGCAGGTAGAAATGGGACATGATCGGGTAGCTACGGAAGCGAGAAGCGTGGAAAGCTGTTAAAAGTAACATCCACCAGACCTAGAAGTTGCTTTCCGCAGTCCAGTTCACCGAAAATTAAAAGTCTACATTTGACGCTGTGGTGCATTCCATCAAACAGAAAACGAATGAATAATAACCTCTTGGGCGAAGGAGACGGTGGTTTTCCGAAGCTGCAATGCATCCGGAACGAGGAGCTAACGTTAGGTTTCACACAAACATGAAAAACTATTTCCACGAGGCTATTCCGACGTTGCATCACAATCAACTGGTGGCAGAGGTGAAGCAGCGGAACACATCCAAACATGACGCTGCGTAGGGGAGTTATAATGAGGCAAATGCAGTAAGAGTCTTCCGAGTAAATGCAATACGTTACTCATAAGGTTACCGAAAACTCTTCGACATCCCACGACCGGTTTCGTGCCTCTTGGGGTTGACTCATCAGGTAGGCCCAGTCCCTGTTAGCTGGGTTCCAGGTGAGTCCCCCGTCAAAACCAAACTGATATTCAAATGAGTGTGTTTGTCGAAATCTTCTGAATACCTCTGACAAACAGGCGGACAGCGGATCGATTCATCGCCTAACTGCTGATAGGTAAAGTCCTAGAGATCTGACCTCTCGAGCCTCAAACTAGTGCAAAACTTGCGAACTAGATGTGTGCACAGTGCTCGGATTTTTTGGGGGGATATCAGTATCCCTGAAAACCGTTTACTACTTGAGCTATTGCGAAAGATATTTTCTGGAAACTTCAATTTTTGATTTCCGCGCCCTGTTCTCCACGTTACACATTACCCCAAAAGGACCGCGCTTCTTTCCTTTGTGTGCCAAAGAATTTATTGTTCCCCAAGGTCGTTCGAAAATATATATTCGGCGATGCTCCCACTATACTTCGCCTTTGGTTCAGACGGTAAAAGCTCTCCTACGAAGGTCCGGTCTTCTGTGTGCGCTAGGTGTGGGTGGGCTCGCGTGATAGCGCGAGCTCTCCAGTTGTGTATAGTCGTTGACCGTACCTGTTCAGATACGCAACATTTTGGCGATAGGATGCATAGAAACCATCAATTGATTCATGTCACATGCAGACATTTATTTGCATCGCCTTCAGGAGTCTTCAGAAAGCACCGTTCACTCAGTAAACACTTTTGAACGTAAGCCACGCTGAACAAATTCCAGTAAGAATCTCATGAGCATGTTTGACAAAAGGGTGAGCGTATATATATGTAAAGACAAGTGACCGAGAGCACTTATGGATGTTCCTGTGACTCATAATACAAGGAAGCTTTCTGAGAACACCTACCTCGTTGTCGGATTCGACCAAGACCTGGTCATATTCGGAGAGTGCGACGAGGAACATGATAGACGTGACACTCTCGAAACAGTGAATCCATTTTCGACGCTCGGATCGTTGTCCACCGACATCCACCATGCTGGAAAAAAGTGAAAAAGTTACGGGACAATCACCTCTGGCCAAAACACAGTACGCGGACAAGAGATCGGGCATACAGAGAAAGTGTGAACGCGATGAAAAACCTAAGCGTATCAAGTTCCGCGATCTCACATCTTTATGAAACTCGACTCTGATAGTAATATGAATCGGCTTCAGGGGTGAAACTAAAGTGTGTGCATGGCGTGTACGTGCGCGCGGCAGTCTCACTAAGTTCACAAAGACTCTATAAAACCCCATCACCGTCGAAGAAAAGCACATGTCCCTTGCTGTGCCACTGTGTTAATTTAGTTTAGCAGAGCTCTGTAGTGAAAAAGTGGGACACGGCGAGGAACCTGATGCTAGATTACCCTGGATGCCTATACCCCCAGCACTCACGTTGGAAACTGACGTCAGTGATGTCGGTTTTCCGACATATCCTCCAATGTCTCGAGACTATCACAACGCGGGAGCACTCAATGATCATTTGACCGCCGACGACGTTCCACAAGAACATACTTACTGAACCGAGAGCGATGTTGAGGTAGACAGTCCGATGAGACGCAAATACCGGTGCAAAAGTGTTTAAACCGGTGGATCTCCTGAGTCAGTTGTGTACGTATCCAGACTTGTTTGACTCTTGCATATTCAACGTAAAAGATCATGTGATGGAGGCAACAAGAGCGGACAAGACTACTGTTGCACACACACACACACACACACACACACACAACGTGGCAACCAGTTAGTTTAGCGCATGTTGGAAGTTTGCATACATCCAACTGCACTGATAACTACCAAACCGGGGGGAACGCGTCTTCAGACATTCGAGAAAGACTGGACAGTTAGGAAGCTGGAACGCAGACCGAAGCAAAACACGAAATCCGAATAATTGAGGTTGCCTCCATTGTTGTCAGGTTGGAATTTCATGAGAAATTTTATTTGTTGATGGTGGGGCTAAAATCGACCGTTTTTAATAACACCGACATACAGGCCGCTGCTCACGACATAGATCCATAAGATTGCGTTGGTATGTGTCAATCAAAGAAACCTTTGCTCATAGGTCTAATTTAGAGAAGTAATTTCAAATAATACAAACTACGGCATTCTATGTGTAGGACAGCTGCCTAAGGAATTCGAACGAAACTCAAGCAATCCTCCAATCAAGCGTAACCCTCTCCGGGGATACAATCTGGCATCTCGCAGTGTTCCTCTGGAGGGCAAGTGTTGGGCTCGATTAGTTAACCTTTCTTTGTGATCACAGGCGACGGAAAAGCTGCGATTTTTTGTGTGTGGGGGGCATATTTTTCGCTATGTGCTGCATTATGGATTTTCAATGGACGAACTGTAATCAAGCAATCCATCCTTAAGAAAGGTCAATATCCTAGGGAAGCCCGAACAGTGTCATTACCCTTTGTAATGTACTACTCATAAGGTTGCTGAAAATCCATCGACCTTATGAGTAGTACATTACAAAGGGTAATGACACTGTTCGGGCTTCCCTAGGATATTGACCTTTCTTAAGGATGGATTGCTTGATTACAGTTCGTCCATTGAAAATCCATAATGCAGCACATAGCGAAAAATATGCCCCCCACACACAAAAAATCGCAGCTTTTCCGTCGCCTGTGATCACAAAGAAAGGTTAACTAATCGAGCCCAACACTTGCCCTCCAGAGGAACACTGCGAGATGCCAGATTGTATCCCCGGAGAGGGTTACGCTTGATTGGAGGATTGCTTGAGTTTCGTTCGAATTCCTTAGGCAGCTGTCCTACACATAGAATGCCGTAGTTTGTATTATTTGAAATTACTTCTCTAAATTAGACCTATGAGCAAAGGTTTCTTTGATTGACGCCTGAGAACATCATAAACGAGAGGTTCAGCTGGGTTCCAGGTGAGTCTGTCGAAAGAACCAAATTAGTTTGCAACTGAGTGTATATTCACTAGTGGCATTACCCGTTCGGTTGGATAGTGGTTTGCCATGTTCGGGTAGAAAGGATTCACTTGGAACAAAACGTACCGAAAAATGATTGAGTCCAGGTCAAACGGGTACTCCACGATTCCTGTTGTTGGAACACGGACGCGCAGAATATCCTGAAGTGTTGGAACATAGTCCGATTGTGCTATCCGGCTCAGGTTGTCAAGGTAACTGCAAGAAAAGTGGTGCGGCTAGCTGAGATGACTGAAACAGAGTTCGTACGGCAAGACATCACAGCAAAAATGAGACAATTTACTGAATCTATATCTTCAACATCGGTGTTTTTACCACACTGAAGGATCTTCAAACGTCTTGCGTTTGCGACTGGAATGCTACCACCCTGCAATGTCTTCTGGCTGATCTCAAAATTTGAAGAAAGTCCTAGAACGAAAGGATGGACGAAACCCCGCAGAAGGCTCGTTGCTAGCCTGTAATGTACATTTCGAGGTACCTCTGGATCAACTAGCTAGTGAGACGATTTAGGAACAGGAACTAAAGTTATGATCTAGAGAGCGCACACCAACGCAAACCTTTCTTTAAGGAGAGGCGAGATAGCCCGGTGGTTGGGGCGCAAAACTGTTGATCGGAATGTCTGGCTCACAACCCTGGATTTTCGATTGTTCGTCTTTCACTTGGGCAACCTGATATCTCAGTCCTCGTGCTTCCTTAGAGCTACACGGAAGCTATGCAAGAAAAGGTGCCACAGTTGGACGACCAACGACTTTCTTTAAGGGATACTGGCATGTACTGCCATTGGAGGAATTATGTAGGGTGTCGAAGAGACCCCCTCATTAGAATTCACTCTATCCTGATGGTGTACGGCGACCACCCGTTAAAAGAATACATGTGATTGGTCGGTTGAACAGTCTTTCAACAGTTGAATCCCTCCATGAAGAGACCAGCCCTCAAAGTAAAGTACTCATGGCAGATCCCTTCAGGTTTGTTCCACAGGGCAGAAAATCGACCTAATCTACGCACCAATACGAGCAAGGGAAATTCGGCCTACCCGAATGACTCAAAATGAACATACAGATCAGATGGCAGATGCAGCAACCATGGAACCGACACAACGAAAGCAGTCGGGTGCGCGTTGCGGAGGTCAAGACCGATCATGCGCGACCCCCAAGCAAGGAACGGGCTAACTTACCAACCAACAGGATTGATTATAGTAGCTTCTAGTCAAAATCAAACGTCAACACCCGGTCTACAATAATGTCCGATCTTTGTCACGGTGAACCACTAATCCATTACACGAAACATTTGCAACCAAATTTCCAAGCTCAGCGGACAGAACATCAGCCATCTATGCAACTAAAAGTTTGCGAGCATGCTCCTATTGTCCAGCGTCAAGTATATAACTGAACACTGTGTCGATTGGACGAAGCCATGTCATGATTGGTCAGAATGTCAGTCAATCAGGATCGAGTGCTTATAGTTCGGCGCTTCTCGCCCCCTCAGGAAGATTCTAGCGTGACGTTGTGAAAAGTTCTGTCACGGCCCTAAAGAATACAGTTGTAATAATTTTCCTTTCTATCCTTTGTGTCCTCACAATGGAGCCACGTGGAATGCAACACCGGACAACCATACATACCTCCGAACTGGGGGACCCAACCAAAGATATCTGTCGCCGCTCAGCTGTAACACCCTTTGGATGTCTAGCTACCATGCCACCCGAGGGGGTCACGAGGGCTGAGATGCTGCCAGGTTGTCCAACCTAGACAGGGCCATGTCATGATTGGTCAGAATGTCAGTCAATCAGGATCGAGTGCTTATAGTTCGGCGCTTCTCGCCCCCTCAGGAAGATTCTAGCGTGACGTTGTGAAAAGTTCTGTCACGGCCCTAAAGAATACAGTTGTAATAATTTTCCTTTCTATCCTTTGTGTCCTCACAATGGAGCCACGTGGAATGCAACACCGGACAACCATACATACCTCCGAACTGGGGGACCCAACCAAAGATATCTGTCGCCGCTCAGCTGTAACACCCTTTGGATGTCTAGCTACCATGCCACCCGAGGGGGTCACGAGGGCTGAGATGCTGCCAGGTTGTCCAAGCCTAGACAGGTGATGATGCAGGGGCCAAGTTCGAACAATGGACTTTCCGGTAAGTAATTTCGCGCACTAACCACAGAGCCATCTCGCCCGTCATATTCGATTCCCAAGCAATCACGAGAACAGATTAGAAAATCGATTGAGTCCTGCACCACGCTGGTGATGATAGTCATGCCTTGTTTGAGCGAGGACTACGTAGAGACAGACATAACTGAAACGGGTCAATGATCGATGCAGCAACTGCATTTTGGTAAGTCGCTTGAAGTCTTTGTTCATTTTTAGGGCTTCCAATTTTTTTGATAAAACCTCCCAAGCACAAAAACGCACCACGTTCATCCCCTGAGGATTGAAAACCACGGGTCCGTTTGTTGGGCAGCGGAATCCGAAAAGGCTTTCGCGTAGTAATAAAGTCGGTAATATTTTAGCTGCGGCACTACTTCGGTACCTAGCTGCCATGACACCCAAAGGAAGAGTACTTAGGTGAGTTAAATCACCCGACATACAAACATTACTACCGTAAAAGGACATCAGTCGTCCTACCCTTTGCAATCTAATTTGTCTTTTTTTTGTAAATGTGTTTCCGTGGTAACTTTCGCGGGTTAGTACAAATATAAAATTTTCAATATAAACGGGCAGCTGGGTTGAAACACTCAAAAACCTCTTGCGTCATATTCGATTAGTCTATGTGACCGACAGTCGATAGAGGGCTCAGTTCCTTTATTCTCATGCAATTGGGGAAACAACTACTAATAAAATGAGACGCCTTGGAGTAGTACAGTGCGCGGACAAACTGCGATAGCTTGCACTAAATAAAACCTGGAAATTGCGAAGCTTCTACGCAAAATTCAATGTAGAGTGTAAGATTTGGAGGCAAGAAGTGTACCGACGAGTGAAACAGCACAATGTCTTATAAATAGTACACTTTACATTGCTCCTATTCATAATCCACGAGATGCCTGCGAGAGACTAAATTTCGTCTGGCCAAAAACGAGAAAAGACATGAGGATGATGAAAACCCGGGAAGTCAAGATTACACACAGAAAACAAGTCGTCTAGCTATGCCACCCATTCAATACCTAGCTAGAATATTAACGGAAGGGGGCACGAGGGCTGAGATACTGCCAGGTTGCCAAAGCTTAAACAGGAGCAATCGAGGCTTGGTTCGACCCACGGACCTTCCGGTGCGTAAGCTGGCATCTTAATCACTGAGTTATCTCTGGAACTGCGCCTATCTGATAAGTCCCGATGGCGAAACCGGTGGTTGGTTACCGGAGAGTTTTTAGCAACCCTATGAGCAGTGTGTTACGTCCAAACAACAGTACCTTAAATCACAAGTAGTCAATATGTGTACCGTCTAGTATGCCGATTAGCCCAAGTCATCTGATAAATTGCACGACTGAAGAGAATGACTGCTCCCACAATGCTTCCTCGGAACAGGTGGAAGTGCATGAAAGCCTGCACTCCATCATCATCATCATCGACAGCATGACATCGGTGTTCAACACCGATGCTTCACTGCCCTACGACCTGCACTCCAGAACAAAAACATCACAAATCTCCAATTCATGTCTTTTCGCTAGACTCCCATGACTGGAGAAACCAAATAATCAAACAGCCGGTACGTAATCATCATCATCATTGTCAGCTGTAATAACCGCGTACTCGTTGTACAGTAGTTGTAGCTGCCACAGTCTCGTTCACCGATGATTTGGGGAGGTGGGGTAGGTTGCTGCGCATTGCAGGTGGGAGTTGATAAATTGGTGCATAAACCCAGCAGTCAGTGGGCTGTCAGGTGGGGGGATTGGGGCGTAAACAGCCGACCAGACCAACCTTCAGAAAAAAATTCAAGTGAAAGTCAACATGGTGTCGACCGATCACGTCGAGCTGTGCAAACCGTGACCGTTGTAGTGATCATTCGCCAAGGTCCTGGCCAGCAAAACTGGAAAATCCAGCCAACAAGCAGATGGTTATCATCGTCCGATTGCTAGTCGGATCGACATACTTGGCGAAGTGGATCTACGGACATAGTGAATCGCCTCATCTTTTCGTAAGAGATACGAATCTGTAAACGGTGCAGTAAATAAGACATCCAGAAAGTAGCCATGACCGTCTACATATTGTTGAGCCCGTCAGAAAAACGGAGGGTCACGGAACGGTTGAGTTGTTTATCCCGAACTGGTCCCACAGGCTCTAGGAAGTTCCACTCATTAACAAGCTAGCTAATTATGATCTGATTCTCCCGTCGTGGTTTAACCTGAATGGGAATCCCATCCTGTGCAAATTTTCGTGACGGAAACCGGTAAAAACATCCTGAAACTCGAGTAGAAATATTCAGATACAGAAGTGAACTAATTAGGTCCGGTTGTTGACGTTATCTAGGGTTGTTATCCAGAGACTGATTAACTAATGCGTGGTGGGAGAAAATTGTATTCATTACTTACTATTTGGCCGAGTCACTGAGCTGGTACTCGCGACGTCGGTCGTAACACTCTTTGAGGCCTGGATCGTCCCACAGCGCTTTGATTGCGGTCACATGGTGTGGCTCCATGGTGGTAACTGTTTCGTAGTCAACGTCGCGAAGCAGAGCAGCGTTAGCCTGGATAGATTATGCACAAGGAGGAAGCAGTGACAAAACATGAAAAGGTTGTGCGGCAAAAATAGACCCAAGTATCTCCGTGTTTTAAGCAAAACAACTGCGAGGTACGGGGCATAAGTTGGACGCTAAGATAGCATGCACTCGTTCCCAGTTGACATACCGTCGCTCAGTAAGTACGGTTGCATGTGAAGGGAAATTAGCTACATCAACTGTAGTCAAACACTCCACAACTGTTAGCATATATATCTGTTTACTCCCCACGAAGGTGGTACGCGGACTGCCACACCGAAATCGTCCTACGTTCGCAATTAGGTGCCACAACGGCCAAGAAGTCTGACTCGCCAGTCTGACTGGCCAGTCCAGCATCGACGCGAGTCATGATTAGCCGAGAATAAGTATCATGTTCCAGTACCCGTTGAATGTCTGCTGGAAGTAGCGCGTTCAGATGGCGTTCGAAATTTCAGAACGTTGTCGTCCCCCACGCTTCAAGTAGGACGTGCTGCTGTTGTTTTTGGCTCAATTTAAGTGTTCAATAGCCTTAGCGGTTCTGCTGAAAACACTCGTGAGAGAGCGTGGGTAAGAGCGACACCTGTGCTCAAGCGCAACCGTTATTTCAGGTGTGCACTTGCCCCTCACAATATGCGTTATGCCATGGGTGTCAAAAAAAACACAATCACTTTGACACTCGCCGCCTGCCAGGACAGAGACCCCGGGGGATGTACATAGGTGGTTAGAAGTATGTAAAACGAGACCTAATCACATCGCCAATGGCACTCCGGCATTCAACGATGACCAACCAACAGAGCACCAAGGCAGTAGACACACTTGTTAAGAAGCGACTGTCTCATGGTAGCACTGTTTACACCGAAGTGGTGCAATCCATCACATTCAGGTGGGGCTATCCGCAACTTCTAATCTTCGAATAATCTAAGAGGGAACGCGATGGACAAAACCAACGTACTGTGGTACACAGTTTACAGCTGATGTATGAGACTAAATATAAGACGGATGGAGAAAAAGTCTCAAGTAGCGTCCTGCTATGAGTTCGGTAGTCACCTATAATTAGTCACTTGAAACAATGCAGGAGCAGGCGGTTAGGGTAACGGCGTGGATGTGCGAGCGTATGTCGCAGGCGACTACTTACGATCACACCTCTGTCCTAATGTCTAAACCATCTCCACATGCGTACCGGTGGTTGAGCCGTCTGTGCGCATCTGGACTATCAGTCAAAACGTTACACAGGCAGAAGTAAACTAAACTCAAACCATAATTAGACTAAACGCACAACGGATGTCATTTTCGAATACACCAAGAATAGGATTTTCAGCAGTTAACTGCTTTTGATCTCACTATTTTGTTAGTAATGTCAAGTGGAATAAGCGCGGTTTCAGGAGACTCAACCGAAAATTCTACATCGGGAACAGTAGGCTTATTTCGGTAGCTAAGACTAAAAGACAAAGAGGCCTTGATCACCCGGAATATACAACAAGGCAGGAACGTACGTGATTGTCCGGATTCTCATAAGGGATCTTCAGGGACTCCATTGCACGGGTCATGGAGAACATGGCCATGTATATATTCTGGTAAACAATTTTAATGAAAGTACGACGTTCCTCATCCGAATATCCCGCACCGTGGATGATGCGCATCTGCTTGATGAAGGTACTTTTTCCTGATTCGCCAGTACCTGATGTGGATAAAATGTACACGGCAATAAAAAATTCAAAAGTACTTTTTTGTACAGTATAATAACAGGAATCATATATATCACGTGCCAGATGTAACCACTCGGAGCCGACATAAGTTTTTACATTTCCAAATCAGTACAGGCTATCGTAATCCTAAGGTTGAGAAGATCAACAGCCGCAGAGTTAGTGGAATATCACCAGGTTATCAACTACCACCAAGACGGTGTGTCCGTGGGCTGCTCCCCATGGCACTTGTATAATTCTATACTGAGGGTGTGGTATTACGATGAAGCTCAAGGAAATTGACCGACAACGCCGTCACCAGTTAGCTGGCGGCGGCAGCAAGTGCTTGCGCGCAGCACCACATCCGGTTCTGAGGCTGCTTACTACGCGCAGGCGTCTAGTGGTTCGATCACTATTGATCAGCAAATCCGATTCGGATGCCAGCCATTCACGTACGGTGAAGTTCACTCAAAGTGAATGTACAAAATTCAGTGGTCATATCCATAGCTGAAGTTCTCAAACGATCCAAACTGAACAAGATAAGTGCGCCCAGATGCACAACCAATCATGCTAGATAGTCTGCGTAAGACAAATGACTGATAATCACATCCCCATGAAACGGAACTCGAACTCGAGGACGAGCGAAATTTCGCTACTGTGAAGCTTAAGTTTTGAAAATGCCAATCTTTGTTTCAAACCTTGCGAAAATCTTACATTTTGTAGTGTGGTCGGGAGAGCGGCTGTCTAAGGAGCTCTGAGAAACAACGCATCTCAATGCTTGACCGCAAACACATTACTAAAAAAAACTGCACAATGTCGTGCACAACCGCAGCTACACAAATCTCGCAACTTATGGGTACACAAACCTGAGCAGAGTGGGACTCGCAAGTCACGAACATCGGTCGAAAGTGAGTCTGTCCACATTTGTAAACGACACCTGCCTGACTGCACTATCATACCAAGAGAACAGTAGTTTGGCTTGCCGCATAACTATCCATGGCCATATAGAAGGAGCGGTAATGAGCATTTCCCGGAAAGAGATTTATCTGGAGGAAGTATGGTGTTTCACTAAAACTTGGAGGAGTTGACGGGTGAGCTCAGCGCCTTGGTGTGGAGAAATTAGCGCCACCATGGTTGGGCCGGCTGATGGCTTTCAACTGGCCTCCGCAGGTTTGCCCGATGGCTTTATTCACCCGGGCTTATACCTACGTGAGCAATTCGAAAACAGTACCACATTCGGCGCAAAAAGCCTGCGGCTTAGATGTTATGGACAGGCGTCCGGTGGAGCAATCACAAACAATATATCTGAATCGTCGACCGGTCTCACTCACTCGCCTACCGGCAGCTGATCGACAGCTGGTCCTAAACAAAGAATCGTGTGAATAGAGATGAACCACTTGTATGCTCATACGTGAAAGTGAAGTGCAAGTACACCGGCCATGAGTGCAGTCAAACCAACATTCCATCGAACCACGGACCTTCAGGTCAGTAGAATTGCGCTGTAACCACTTGGGCCATCTCGCCCCTGCTTTCAACCTTGCCAAGACGACATCGAGGCAACCTTCCATGGTGACAAATTCGAACGGAGCAAAGCCCCCTTCGGCATGCTGGCAATGCGGCGAATGGCATTTTGTGCGATTGTATCCGTATAAAAAGCATAAACGTTCAGTGTGCAATCGACGTGGACACAAGGAAAGGCAGTGCCGGACGCGGAAAGCTAACCAGCGACACAGCCAAACACGGAGGTCACGAAGCAGACAGAGCCAATCAGAACCCCGTTTTAACGCAATATTTGCAAAAATTTGATAACCAGATCGATGCTCGGCACAAGTACGTCACAATTAGAGCAAATGGAAGCACGATTCGATTGCAGCTCGATACGGCTTACGCTTACGATATCACGTTTCCCAAAGCACCTGGAGGAAGATCGGATCAATGAAATTCAGACAAACAACGAACACTGCCAGAAATGCTTCCGATGATAAGCTTCAACTACTTGGTAAATTCGATTGATCTTGGCGTCTCACTAGGCAGTTATGTGTGCTTTCATGAAATATGCCGTCCCTTGTACCCCGGCATAATCATCATCGACAGCATGACATCAGTGTTCAACACCAATGCTTCACTGCCATACAACAATGACTTAGTTGAAAGCCTTATTGTAAAGAAAAGAATAAAGGTGGATGGGGGAGGGACTTAGTGCTAGCTTAACACAATCATTCCGAGGTGCCTACACCTCCAGACATTCACTCAGGCAATCTGGACAGAAACTGACAACAAGAACGCCACTGACATCGGTTGGCAGCCATATCTTGTAGTGTCTCCAACCAGGCACAGTGAGGA